GTCCTGAGCACCAGAAGGAACTAAAGGGAAGAGATGCGAACAGAACGCATCATCAAGTCATATAAATTCCAAGATGTGTGGACGATATTTAGAAAATCCCCATATTGATTTAAATACTGATAACTAGAAGTCATAGGCTTAACCTTGCAGAACCTTTACACTCGTGAGAGGACAGACTTCTTCAGTAAGAGTTGTTGGCAGGAGCACAGTCATGGGTTTACAGAACAGCTACCAGGTATAAATTGTACATCTTCACCTGATACAGTATATTGGATCACAGAATACACATTATCATATTTGATCTTAAAAAAAAGTAACCTGAAGTATAATTTTGTCACTTACTCCCTAACATACAAATGCTACTCCCTATGTTTACTACCAGGGTCAGACAGTTAGGTATCAGAACTGCACTGTTCCTATTCGAGCTGTATGGTAATAAAGGATATGTAACAAGGATAATCTAATTAAAGAAGAGGGAATGAACAACTTTCAAGCGGGCCCTCCAAATTTCTACTATTTGACGTAAAGCTTGTTTAGCAAGCTTTCCTTCCCCAATGTACTCAGTTAACAGCAATTAGCATTGGCAGCAATTGCACGCGTGCATAGAAAAGAGGCAGGAGGAATTGCCTGGCCTCTGGAAGCTACGTATCAGTTCTCAGTTTTCCAGCACCACTGCCTTTCGTTTGCTGCATGCAGACAAGAGCTGAGCACAACAGCCACAGGTGCTAGCTAGAGGTGGAGTTTTCCCATTCTGAGGACATTGTGACTGGCAATGGAAACTTACTGAGCAAACGAAGCTCACTCTGCAACACAGATGGATTTCCCACTTCTGCCATCCCACTGGGGCAATTCAGGAGCATGCTGCGAAAATGTGTGGGGATTCAGCCCCATGCCTGCGATGTCTTTGAGGACAATGCCACGAGGCAGCCCCAGGCCCGCAGCAGTGTGTGAGGCCTGGCACACGTACACACAGCTCAGGGCTGGGCTGCCTCAGCCACCACGTCTGCAATTTATGCAGCTTGGCCCGCAGCTCCTTTGCACTCGAGGTGACCACAAGAGACAAAGTACAGTAATTATTTTTCATTCATTTTCCAGTTCGAAGTGCCCTAAACATTGAGAGGATTGGGCCACAGATCAGCAGCGAGGGGTCTTACAGTGCGATGACAGTGGTGTGAGTTGTGTGTCCTTCAGCATGGTGCTGGGACACGTGAGGGCAAGCAAGGGCACAAGACTCGTCTTGAAGGACTGTCCTGGGTCAGTCTGGCTGGAGTGGATCCAGAGGTGAACAGTCTTGTCTTGCTGCTGCTTCCTGGAGAGAATAAGCTTCAGGAGAAAGCCTGGCTCCAAAGGGGAACAAAGAAACAGGTAAGGGGACCACAGGCACCAGCAGGGGACAGGGCTAAGCCAAGTAGCCGGTACACATCACACATGAAGCTCACATGCACAGGTTGTAGTGTCTTTCGCTTTATGAATGACAAAAATAAGGTCTGTGATTCTCTGTGATGGTTATGATTGATTCCACTCAAAACCCAAACAACCTTAATTCTTAATGTTATGCCAATTCTTACTGCTTTTTGTCTGTCATAAAATTAACAAGCTACATTACCAAAATCTTTGTGGAAACTTACATGACTTTAACACTTATTTTACATCACTTTATTGCTGCTGAAAAAAGAAAGCCAGTAAAAATGGTTAATTGCCTGACCATTCTGTAATTACCTGCTGCAGATACAAAGCTTGAGGGCTGGCTGCTCTGAAAGTAATGTCTCCTGTTTTATTATGTTGGTCCATGACATCAGAAGTGGATGTTGGTGGCACGGCAGTAGAGATTGAACCTTCCCACAAATATTCCATTTCATTTTGTTGCCACGCAACAGATGGCAGCAGAGGGGCAGTCTGACAAAATGATGTCTGACATAGAAGTGCATTTGAAGTAGAGGCGTGTTACTGAATTCCCCCATGAGGAAAAAATGGCACTCATTGACATTCATCAATGCTTGCTGAACATATGGAGACCAAAGAGTGGAGGTGAGTACAGTGAAGTGGTGCATTTCAGCAGTGTCGACAGTGACAGTGGTCAATTCTGCTGGTGCAGATTTGAAGAGCACAGCATACAGGCTCTCGTTCATTGTTGATGAAAATGACTACTGAAAAATACTGTTTTTTAGTTGGGAATTTGCTTTATCAAATAGTGTTACTGTGCTCTTTGTATCAGCTGTAGGTTCCATGGAAATAAATAGGAGGCATTACTTTTGGAGTAACCTATATTTAAGATAGTTCACATATTGTTTCAAATAGAAAAATGCCATGACAGTGCAACATACAAGCAGTCAGGACCCAGAGGTTGATAACAGATTTCACTTAGAGCATGTGACCAGGGATACAAGATTAAAAACAGCAAAGTGGACAAATATATTCCTTAAAGCTCTGTTTGCAATAAACTACAAAAAAAAGTCCTGATCCAGGTTATTATTGAAACTTGTAGAGGTTTTGATGATAAAACAGAAATAGATTTGGGGGTGGGGATTTACATCTCTACTTTACTTCTTTTTTCCCCCACTGCTAGAGACCAGTGTGTGTTTACCAGCAGGAACCTATGATGTTTGTGGAACTAGAGATACTACTGGAAAGAAAACTGAGTTTCATTTCAGTATTTAAAATTCACTTGGTTAGATGTTTCGTTGCTCTTGCTCACAAATATTTATCAGCACTATTTTGTTCATCAAATGTCATGTTAATATAGCGACACCATTTCCAAGTAGGAAACTTACAGTGAGCACTTGAGTCTCAAGGTTTATTTTAGCAAATTAAAGAAGACATGAGTAATACAAGCCATTTAGAAAGATACTACTCAATGGCAACCAAATAGTCTACACTTTTCAGAGCCGAACAGAGAACTCAAAAATTCTCTGTCATATACACAAGATGTAAAAGAAGCCTGAAGGATAGGTGAAACCCTGCCCCTGAAAGCACAGTGTAGATTATCAATGACAAGTCAGTTTTCCAAATATTAACTCAGATACCATCTGCCTTACTGAATCTGGTTAACCTTACCATTTCAACAGAAAAACTGAGAAATGAACAGATCTCTTTTGCCTCTGTTAGATCATTGCAACTATGAAAGCTAATCTTAACTTCAGGTTCTAAGAGCATGCCAGAGCTCACTGCAAGTAAGAGTAAATTATTGAGAAAACCTATTTTCACCAAAACACCACCACTAAAACAGTTCCTCTATCCTGAATTATTAAAAGATTCTCAAACAAAATAGCAGATTCTTCTTGCCTTCACAGCAGCCAACTTGGGCAGGAAAGGCAGCGTAGGCTCAAAGACTCTGGCTACATACACACTCCAGTCTCCTGAAAAGCCAGAACATCTGACAGGACAGGAAAATAAGAGTTTTTTTTCATTTTTGGTAGCCACAGAAGGATGGGAAGATCAATGTGCTTCACAGCTGCTAGGTAGAGGCCAACCAAAGATGGAGAATCCCGAGAGTGGTGCAGGGACATTGACTGCGTCAACCCCAGCCGTTACCTTGCTTGCCAAGGGCATGCCTAAGGAGTGCACTGCTGTCCTTCTCAACGCTCCCATCATTTTAATGTTGGTCAGACTTGCACAGTTGTTTTTTTTTGTTTGTTTGTTTTCATGTATCCTTTCCCAATGATTGAGTAGCAGTATTACTAGTTACTTCCAATGGTAGTTACATACCACTCTTCCCTCATGATGTTCATGATGAAATGTATTCACTGTCTCCAAATCAAAACAAATCAAATGTGTTTTTGAAGATCTCACTCAACCAAAAGTTTTGTCACCTGCTCACACCCAAACTATCTTGGCTCCCTCTCCTCCCATCATGAAGACATGCAGCAGCCTCCTCTGCTTGTCTATTCCTGATTTCATTTGTCCCAGCTGCATGTTCCTGATCAAAGTTCCAGTTCACAGATTTTGATTTGTTCTTTCTGCATTTTTTTGGCTCTGACCTGAAAGCCCAGGGACCTAGAAAAGCAATTTTCCATCCTGAATGAGGACTGAAAAGGAAGACTTGGAGGCATGGATGTTTCAGCTCTAGAGATTTCAAACAGTTCCACCTACCAAATCCCAGAACTCCTCACTCTTCCCAGTCACTTCTCAGATTCATTTCCTTGCACATATATCTTCAAAATAGCTAGGTTCCAAATGTAAAAGCCTCTTAGACTGAAGAAGCAATTTCTGATATATTTAAATAACAAGCCACTCTACTGCCTGTGTAAGAAAATTGCTATTTTAGTGAGGCCCACATAAACAATGGTTTGAGCTCCCTCTGCAGGCTCCGTGTCTGTAATTAATGAAGAAATCTTTTTCCCACGGCCATGCAGTCATAAACGAATAATGATGATGTGCAGAAACAAAAATGTTTTGACAGGATTTGGCATGAGAGTAGTTGAAATTATCATTGCTGTTGTTTCTTAAATGAGACATTTGGGGCAAATTCTGGCCTAGTATAAACAGGTGCACTGCACTGCAGCAAAAAGAGT